GAGGGGAAAGATTAATCAAAGAACTTATATGCATATATGCATAACCCAAGGACATGGACAATGGTGTGGTGACGGAGTGGGGAGGGGGGTGGGGCAGGGTGGAATGGGTCAATGGGGAGAAAAAGGGACATCTGTACTATTTTGAACAAAAACATTAATTAATTAATTAATTAAAAAACACAAGGGATAAATGTTAGCAAGGATATGAAGAAAGGAGAACCCTAGTGCACTGGTCCTGGAATTTAAATCGGTCTAGCCACTATGGAAAACAGTACAGAGATTTCTCAAAAAATTAATCATAGAACTACCATATGATCCAGTAATTCCATTGCTAGTTATATATCTGAAGGAAATGAAATCCCTATCTCAAAGAAATATCTGCACACACACATTCGCTGCAGCATTATTTACACTAGCCAAGACATGGGAATAACCTAAGTGTCCATTTATGGATGAATGGATGAAAAAAATGTGGTGTATATTTACAATGGAATATTATTCAGCCATAAAAGAAAAGGAAATTCTGTCTTTTGCAACAACATGGATGATCCTTGAGACATTACAATAAGTGAAATAAGTCAGAGAAAAACAAATACTGTATGGTCTCACATATATGTGAAATCTCTAAACAACACAAAACACCTGAACTCACAGACACAGAGAACAGATTGGTGGTTTAATGTGAGGAGGGGTGGGTGAAGGTTATCAAAAGGTACAAACTTCCAGTCATAAACTAAATAATTACTGGGGATGTAATGTACAATACAGTGACCATATAATAATAATTATATTTAATAATTACAATTACTAACACTGTATTGCATATTTGAAAGTTGCTAAGAGAGTTGATCTTATAACTTCTCACCACAAGAAAAAGAATTGTAATCGTGTGGTGATGGATGTTAACTAGAAATATTGTGGTGATCATTTCACAATATATAAATATATCAAATCATTATATATACCTGAAACTAATATAATGTTATATGTCAGTTATATCTTAATTTAAAAATGTTTAATTAAAAAAAAACTTTTAAAGCCTTTGAGCCAAGGCCATGTTCTTCCCAGACAACCCCCACAAGACAAATTCCAGGAACTACCCATATCTTCCCACTGAAGAACTCCTCTGATGAGCTACCCCAAATCTCCCTATTGGGTTAGGCAATACTTTGTCAATTCTACATTGCAATTTTAAACTCTCTCTGCCCAATTCTGTTTCCTTCTCCCTTTTACTTTCAAAAATGTCAAATCTGCATCAAGATCTGAAGGTTTACCAGACCCAATCCTTCCTCCCTCTTAAACTTTCACAGGCCTTATCTTCCAATAAATCTCTTGTACTTCTAAACTCCATCTTACCCTAACCTTCCTGCAGGATCTGAACTGATACACCTTCATAGCACTTATTACAATTTGCAATGTTATGTTCATATGTTTGTTTGTATATCTCCGTCACACTGCAATCTCCTCTGCAGTCTTTTCCACTGAAGTGTCCTTCTCTCATAAAGCCAGGATAACCTCCATCCTCACCCTTCCTCTAGGCCAGGACAGGGCAGGAGTAGTTGTACAATTGTGTTTTACATAAGGGATCACAGCTGAGAGAATGAAAAGAGACTAAAATCGTATTTCAGAGCTACATCTTCCAAGTGTAGGATTTTTCAAGCTTGGCATTACTGACATTTTAGATTGGATAATTCTTTGTAGTGCAGTGGTTATCCATTACTAAACATCTAGCCCTCTATTCAATGGCCCCCTTCTCAGTTGAAACATTGTGTTTAAATGTCTCCCGACATTGCCAAATGGGGGGGGG